GAAAAAGATTCTAGTATTTTGGAAAAAAACCTATTAAAACAAGATGCAACCATCTGTGATGTGGAAAGTGTTAGAAACCAGTGTCACTTTTCACAAAAGAGAGAATCCTCATTGACTGAGAGGATGATCCAAAACAAAAGGACATTTTCAGACGCCGTAACAAACAAACCAAATTTCTCCTGTAAGGCATGGTGGTGGTAGCATGAGCTCTGGGGTCTGTATCACTGTTCTTGGTACTGATTCAGTCTAGAAGTTTAGAAAATAATATAAGTACAAACAAATTATTTAGATTTTTTTGGTGGGTGTCGTAAAATAAAAGGTCTCAGCAGCCTGCCGATGTTTGGCTCTACTGTTGTGACTCTTTAAATCTCTGACTAAAATGATAGAAAACTGAGCAGCGTTGAATTTACATGGGTGGAGAAATTAAATGTTTCCTTTCATTAGCATAAAACCCTGTAACAGACCATCAGGAAGCATCCTTTTTGCACAATGTGTCATTTTGTCTCATTGAAAAGAAAATGTTTTGATTCAATTAAACCCAAAAAGTATGAATGGAAATATCAGTCCTTTCATTTAACCGATACACAACCAAATTTTACACTAAGGGCAACCACAAAATTCAATAAACTACCTTCCGTCAAAGGTGCATGTAGGATTTGCAGCTCCAGACTGATTCTATTTTGGAGGAGTGAGTTTTAAAGGCTGCTGACTCCTGCAACACGACAATGATCCCAAACACAAATCAAAACAGGTTTTTGAATGAAGCTAGTTTCAGGAACGGCCCTGACATTCAACCCGTTTGGACAACCGTCTAAAGCAGGAAATCACTTTGAAACAGCTCTGTGTTGAAATATTGGGCCAAAATAATGCAAAGAATTTTATTTTTCACAACTTGCAAAGAGACATTTATTCAAAGTATCAGTGGAGGTGTACGGGTTGAGGGACGATAACGAATGCATAACGAATTCAAAATGAATCCACCCCCATCTTGTTTTTAAAGTCCTTGAAGTTGTGCGTTTAATTAACTTTCCACCCCTTAAATGGAATGTCTCAAATAATAATTAAAAGCCCATAATTCATGCGAATATTAATGCTGAGTGTAGTTTTATGATTAGCAAAAGCCCCCTCCTGTGAGAACTCTTCTTTATGACCAAGTCATTGGCACAATAACAGCAAAAAAAACTGTCAAAAGTGGCAATAAAGTGCAGTTACTTTGCCATGGAACATCAAGGATCACAAACAGGACAATAAAAGAGTTACTGCATGGCACAGTGCCTCAATATAAAAAGTGATTAAACTTGAGTTAATCATTGAGCTGGTCTAATCTGCCGTCAGCCTGGGCTAGCCTTCTGGCACCTCAGAGGACAGCTCACCCAAGATCAGAACCAGTGAGGAACCACAGGAGACGCCCTACATCAGAAGCTGATTAAAGCCAGTGAAATAAGTCAGCAGTGCTTCAGAGATAACCACTATGTTTAAGAGAAGCGTATGTCTGACCTTGAGGATGACCTTCTGGTGGCCTATTGTGTTTAAGGAGGCCATATAGAGATGGACTGAGCTCCCGAGGGATCAATGACCAGCACTCAGAGTAATCACACTGTATTGTTTGGCTGCTCAATGATGACATGAGATGAATGATCTCACAAAGCCATAACACTGACAGGACTCACAGACAGCTTTTATTTATACCTGCAGCATTGTTTTAGCTTTAATTCAAACTTAAATATATTTGACATCATACAAAGTTAACCCCAAAAGCAGGTTTCATCCAATCCAGATTTTATTTCTCTGGAGATTCTGTAGATTGGGGCTAGATATTCTAGTTTATTAAAGGGGATTAGAGGAGTATTATCTAAAATTGACTTTTTTGAGCTTTAGGTCATGTCAATGTTATTCCCTCATCAAAAAAAATACCTGGAATACTGCTTTGACTCATTCATCTCCCCACTCAGTTCCTCAAGACTAGCAGCAGCAGCAGCAATTAGGAAATACCTGGTAGAACTGCACATTCGCTGAGCTCATCATACAAACTATTTCTCAGTGCAACGCTTCTAAGAATGCTTGCAAATGGCATAATGAGAAACACTGTTGTGTTGACAGAGTGCCAGAAAGGAGAGGGAGCTTCTTAAAGAGACAGAGGCCCAATTTCAAGGTGTCAAACTGCAAAGACAAATTTCTTTTAAGTCATGTTTGATATATTGCCTTTTTAGTTAGATATGTTGGGTGTCTTTTACTCGATGGTGCTATAAAATGGCATTGTGTGCCTGGGAAATACCTAACAGAACCCCTTTAAGATCTCTCATCCTGCTGTGCTGCCAGTTAGGTTCTATTGACGTGACTTCTCTGTTTCACAGCTCTGATAGTAATCAGACCCTGTTGTGTTTAGTGAAACTGATCTCAGCAACCAAAATTTATTTAATCATATTTAATTTAGGATTTAAAAATCAAAACGATTATTTATTCATGTCAGGCCAAAACAGTTTGACCACTTTAGTCCCTTAGTATACTAAATCACCATATAAAAACTCAATTTTGATTTTACCTGTGGTATTCTCATATTAATTTTCCGTAACTTTTGATTTCCAAACAGAGGAGGGTGTGCTGTATTTATTTTTTCTGGCATTAGAATATGAATGGAAGTAAACATATGATGACAACCTTTAAAATGTGTCTGCCTTGGAATAAACACACAGCTATGAAGGAAAAGCTAACATGTTTTCTTCCTGTGGTTTGCATGGCTGCTTAGCTTATCGAGGGGGGTGACGGGGGGAACAGACTTAGCCCGTGTAATGAGAAACTTGCCAGGCACCTCGGCCATAATATCTGTCTACAGGCTGCCCTGTAATACAGCAGATCCAAACCAGACATATCAAGCTCGCATAACTAAGTTCCATACAAATTAAAGGCACCAAACAAACACAACCCTGTGATTAGTGGTAGGTGTTATTTTTGACCCCCCCAGCTGTCTTATCTTAATTCTATGTGTTTTTTCCTTTACAGGGTGGATAATAGCAGCTTTGGGCCTCTTTCTGTGACTGCTTACACTACACATAAATAAACCCCGCACCAAGGATAATTTTTTCTAGCAAACCCTTTTTTGTCTTAACCTCGTTTTGCTTTTCATCTCCACCTTTTTATTCACATAGAAGTGTTTGGGTGCACCCAAAATAAATATACATACATATTTATCATGCAGCAACTTGTGGCATCAGACTTTCTTTGTCAGTTAATTAAAATGCCTGACAGTAGTTTTAATCCGTAAATGATATGATCACTGAAATTAGAGACTAGAGCTGTCTCACTCTCACTGGAGGCACAACGCAAAGAAGAAAAAAAAACTAAAAATCCCCAGTGAAGCGTGTTAAAATGGTAAATGGATGCAATAAAGGCAGCAACTCACAAGAGGAAAAGTATTTGCAATCCAGCATTTTGTGCTTATTATTCACTTTTGCTTGTACCTATCTGCAAAACCGAGATTAAAGACAGCGCAAAAGCAGAACAGCGTAATAATAATCAAGGCCTCATCCTAACTCTACTCTGAGCATCTTAAAGACTCAGCATATTTAAATAATATCCTAATAATGTCATTGGATGGGACGGGAGTTTTTTTAGGTTCTTAAAAAAAAAAGTGGATGCCACTGAATTGAACTTCTTTTGCTAGTTTTGGGACTGAAAAATTGCAGGAACACAAAAGCAAGATAAACACTCAAACTGTAATCAAACTAACTTCTCTGCAAATTTATTTTAAGTTGATTATTTATTACCTGGATGCAGCAATAGGTCATATCTATGAAATACAGGAAATATTTTAATTTCACACTATGGCTACAGTCAGGAAGAGAAGCTTAGATTCAGGATCTATTTGGATTGTGATCTGACCATTTCTGTATTTTTTTAGATCTGTCTATTGGATTTTTACTAAAATATTTATTCTCTGTTTAGTCCTTAAAAAAGCCAATACAAATAAACAATACAGGCCCCAACTACTGCACTTTCTTTTCAGATTGATTTCAGCATAGAGCGATTTGAGATGAGATATTGACCAAATATTTTCACCACAATAGTTTGTTGCATTAATTACAGTACAAGCAATTATAAAAAAATAGAAATAATTTAATTATCCTCTTCAGCAATTTTTGGCAATACATCTGCATAAATAATGACCTTTATTTATTTATTTATTTTTTTACTATTTTGACTAGGAGCCTTTATTAATAAAGTCACAAAACTAAAAGTGGGAAGACATGCAGTAAAGGTCTGGAACCCATGACAAGGACTAAGGCCTCTGTACACTTTACCCTTGTGCTACTACTGCGTCCAAGAAGTCTTTTTTGCACCTATGGTATATTTTGTTATCTCAGAGAAAAAGAATCAGTCAAAAATAATGCACTACTTTGGTCTACTTCAACTATACACGGAGGCAAAGGCAGACCCGCAGGACCACAACAAAACTGTCAGGACTGCAAAAACCTCCCTGCAAGGTCAAGTTTACAGTGAAACAAAAGAAAAGACGACACACTATGAGAACAAGGCCCTCAGAGACAAAAGGAAAAGGCTTCGGAAAAAACTAATCCTCTTTGATTCATGTCTGAAAGGACAGATCAGTTGGTCAGAGGGAGGCAGAGGGGTGTCGGGGCGTAATTGAATTACAGTGACCCAATGACAGCACTGTAGGTGAGGTCATGTGTTGAATTAATTCTGTTCCTGACCTTGTCTTTGGTGGGGGAGGAGCCCCCGGAGACCAAAAAGGTCCGGCGGCAGAGACAGATCTCTCAGAATGTCTTTTCCCAGCCAAAACTGTCACTCAAACAGACAGCGAGGCACAGAGGCAACTGAGATCCGTCCGCCTGCTTATTTTTAGCTCAGGTGCTAATGCTCTACCTATATGAGAGCACATGCATTAGGCAAACATTTGTGTCTGTTTTCTGGAATCTGTTAAGAGTCTGAAGTAGAAAGTCCCTCATGCTTTTAGGATGTCCCAGGTGAAGGAGGTTACTTACTGTCTGCCAGAGAAGAGATCACCCAGGAGCCGAGTAGAAGCAGCAACAGCAACGCCCCTCTGGGCCGGAGGGGCCCTACCAGGTGAACGTTAGGCACCATGCTCCAAGATGGCACTGCTCCCTCCTCAGTCCCCGCTGCTAGACGCGTCCCACTCTGACAGGATCAAAGACTAACACCTGAGAGAGCAAAGAAATGCAGAACAGGGGAGCGGGGACATTAGTATTCAAACTCACTCTGCATTTGCATAGATTTGAATGAGCAGCATAACACAGTTAGGCAGAAATATCAAAAGCAAGTCGCAGAGCAGAACCAAACGTGAAAGAATTTAAGTATACATGTAAAAAAAAACAAAAAAAACAACGACACTGGAAGATCTTTGTTCGCGATCAACAAGGCATCTAATACCCAAAACAAATCCTGCTTCAGGAGGGGGACAAAACTGGTGAAAAGGATGTAAGTACATCAGAGGAAGTGGGGAGGCAGCAATGCAGAACAGCTCTGCAAAAAGGAAAGATATTCAAAGGGAGATGGGGATGTAGGATCAATTTACTCAGCCACCTTCCTTCCAACAGAGGGGGTTCAGTTAAAAACCCAAAGGACTTCCTAAACAGCAGTCCCAGAGGACCACAGCCCACTTAATGCCTCCCATTAGGAAATTGAAACTGAGCCATCCAGATGGTTTCAAATCACAGAAAGTGAAATGATCTCATAGAATGACAACATAAATAAACCTGTAACACAACGGCTCCATGTAAAGTTGTCCTTTTTCTAATTTGTACTCCCAATTTGTTCCGTTCCTTCCTACTTCCATCCCAAACCTATAAATTATATCTCATATTTTTATAACTTAAAATGTAACTGAGCATTTTGTTGCAGTTAAGTCTAGAAATGTATGGAAATACATATCTACAGTAGGCTAATGCACGAATAGTGAAATTCTACATTATTATAACACTCTTACCATTTATTTTGGCTCTGGTAATTGTCTTTGCCAATTGGCTGGTAAAATAATAAATATATCCTTGATCCAACCAACATAATTCCTAAATGACTTCCTGCTGGGGTCACATAACCACATTTTCATTCAATAGTCTGAGTAGATGATAGAAAATGGCTTAAAAACATTGCTTTGCAAAGAGGGTAAGAAACGTCCCCCTAGCGGGTGCAAATTGGCTCGCTGTTGCTAAGAGACCCCTGGCAGAGGACAGAACTGTTTCATACCCGAAAAGGTCAGGAATGAAAAGACCAAAGCTGTGAAGGCACAAAATGGTGAAGAGCCAAAATGAGCGGCACCCTAGAAGGGAGGGTGCTGTCAGGAGTTGGTCAACAACAAATAAAAGTAGATCTATCGCTAATTAAACCCAGTAGGAGAGGGACTATAGTAACACTGGATTGTAAAGGACTACAGTTTTCTGCCAATATGCAAATAATAATGACATAATTGTGCACTTTTCAGACAGATAAAACAGTTTGAAACAGATGACACTTAAACATGTGCTAATTAAAGGTTAGTAGTTCGTAAAAGTTCAAGACTGTTATTTACACAAAGCGTTCATGGAAAAATCGATAGCATGACCTAACATTTAAATGAAAGAAGAGCATCAGTTACCCCTGTTGCTAAAAAATAATAAATGAATAAAAAAACTTAATGAACCGCTCCTTTATTTTTCAACTTATGACTGTCCATGTTTATTGTAATAAGAAACAATTTTTATTATAATTTTTTTAAACAAAACCAAAGTTGGGGAAGGAGTTAGCACTGATTTATACAATAATCCATACAGCAGGAAGAACTTTGGTCATTCCACTTTCTCCATTTAATTTATTTCATTTAAAAGACTTTACAATGCAATGCAGGGAATATGAAAGATTTAATTGGCGTAAGTGCTCTGTTTCTTTTTTTTTTTCTTTGTATGTTACGTTTTTACATGGAAGATCATGATACAATTATGGTTTTACTTTAAAAAGTATATCTGTAACATGATAGTTTTGCCAATCCAGTTACCTGTAACGACCTCTAATAGTTTGCCTTTTAAGGAATCAAATTTATTGTCAAAACCAACTCAGTAAACTAATGTTAAGTTTGTTACAGCCTCCAGTTTAATTGTCTCTTTCCATTATAAGCAAAGTAAAAGTAATTGCTCTGAACTGAGTTAACTACATTTCTAATGCCCACACTCTTGCCTACAGCCATCTCTGAGTAGCTACAATAATGTAAAGAACATCACAGCGAAGCCACGATAAAAATCTCTAAATGGATTTAAAGCCCCCTGTCAAAGCGATTTCTATAGAAGATGAGCTAAAATGTAAAACCAACTCTTTGATATGTTCTGTTTTTAATATTTAAACCTTACTCCTAACTCTAGGAACAATTTATGTAAAGAAAAAAAAAAGAGACAAAGTTCAAGACGCTGAATATCTTGAGGCTTGCTGGGTGGCCAGTCAGCTTTATTCTATTCAATTCAGTTAAATAAGTTAAAGTGTCAGGAACATAATGCCTCCAGTATCTTGTGAAGAGAAAAAGAAGAGCATTCTTAAGCCTGTGGAGGTCATTACTCATGTGGCTCCTTCAACGCTGGTGAAAACAGAGAAAAATGCGCATAACAGGCCACATCTACAACCATGACCACCTTCTTTGATAAACATTCTTTCATGCAGATACTTTAGTACATGAAAATATCAATACATTTCATCTGTTTTTCGGGGGGTGATGGGATTTCCATTTCTGCGCCGCTTTTTACCTACTTTCTGACATTATTTGCAGAGAGAAGAAGTCATGTTTGACTTAGTAATACAATAAGAAGGAATGCAGTGTATAAGCCCAGGCTGGTGCACAGACCCAGACATTTAAAGTTGACAGCCAAGTCTTTGTCGTCGTACAGGTATGCGACTTGAGGCGTCGATTTATGCAAGCCCAATATCCGATTCCAAACACGCCTTGTGTCTGAGAAATTTCCAGAGACGATAAAGTCAACATCATCTATCATACATGAAGCTTTGAGCTGAGATCGTATCGAACTCTGAAACGCTCCTCCCTGGATGTACACTTTGAAGAAATACACCTAACTGCAGCTGAAGTCATTTTAAACCCCAAAGAAAAAAAAATGAAAAGAAGGCTTTCCTTCTCACTGTTACTGAAAAAGAGATTTAATATTTGAGTGTTAAGCTGTTGAAGTCAGGAAAAGAAAGAAAAAGAGGCACAAATATGCTGCTGAGGATGCCAAAATGCTGGATCACTCCTCTAACTTTGCACAGGGAATTAAAGACATTTAGACCCCGTTTTTTATTTTAAGTTAATACCCCAAGTTAGCATTGCAAAGTGAGCGCAACTCACATCATTTTCAGTGGCTGACTAATTTGTTATGACACTCATTTTAATGTACGCCAGTGCCACTCTTGTTCACGTCGTGGGGAAAGGAAGTGAGTGAGTTGGCTACTCGTTGTGCTCCAAACCCGTGGTGGTGGGGGGGGGATATCTTCTGCAGCAGATGCCAGAAAGAGGCAGATGCTTTTCATCTTCAATGAGACAAATTCCTCAAGCGAAGGCTTATTCTTTATATCTTTTCCAGCTACTTATTCACTACAGAAAAGCACGGTCCCTCCCAGCTGTACAGAAATACTTTGGGACAAATCTTTGCAACTATGCGAGTTTGTGTTGCGGCGTGGAAAAGGACAGAGTGTCGACCTGGAAATGGAGCATGGTGTGATTCAAAATCCAAGCAAAATGGCTCAGCAAACAAGAAAATATTGTTGCTGTTGTTTGCAAGTATTTGGGAGAAGCAATGGCAAAACAGTGTGAAGATGTAGGTGTGGATGAATGCCTTTCAGAGAATAAATGAATCCTTCTGTAATGATTTTCCTCCAAAGTCTGGTAAGACTGAGTGAATGAGAAACAAGAGAGCAAGTGGATAATTATTGCTAAAATGCTCAGCCAGATTTTTTCAACAGTAACTGAGAAACTGTAAATGTTTAAACAGCTACAGGGGTTATACACAGTGCACAAAATAAGCTTGTGATTTGTAATCCCATAATCAAAATACTCTTAAAATAAATCGAATTACTGTAAATCAGGCTGCAGCAACATATCCTGCTCACAAAAAGACACGATACATGATATTGTCACAAACATTAAATGAGAAAAGATTCTAATTAGAAAAAATTAGGATCCCCCTTCTTTGACAAGGCTTTACAAATCCCAAATTATAATTTGTATAAATTAATTCAGTTTAGTTTATACTTGTCTATATATCACAGACTTTAAGTCTTTAATTCCAAAAATAAATAAATCACTGAAGCTGCTTCTTTGCTATACTTGTATTAAAAAATGGATTCTCTGCCAGTTGTAAAATTATCCAGTTCACATTTGGTCACTAAGAATTTTACATAATTAAATGTAGTCTGGTGAAGTTAAAATTTGTTGGGGACAATTGAACCAGAAACTTTAGCTTCATACCTGTGGATTAGATCAGCCAGTTACATTTTTTTAGTAATGTCTACAAATCATTTATAACCTGCCTATTGTTGAATAATTAACCATCATCCAGCTCACTGGATAAAACTAAATACAATAGTCTATTCATGAGTCCAAACAGTACAAGATGAGATTTGAGAAACGTTTTGCTTTGTTGTTTGATATCTAGCATCATTAGCGGCTGGCGGCTTTTGTCATGGTACTTGTAAGTCATCTGTAATCGTCTTTCTGACAGCATTTCTTTTTTTCTAACACCCGTCAGTTGTTTTTAAAAACTTGTGGTTTTAACATTAATGTTGCAGAAAGCTGTTGATGACCAATGAAAAGTTTTAATTTTAAGGATTGTTAGCCAAATAAACCAAAAGGTCACCTCTTACAATGGAAAGTCCAGATAAACGGTAAAAACAAAATGGCATTACTCTCTTCTTGCGGTCCTAGTTTGGGAATTCTTTCACCATTTTCTGAGCAGAACTTTTTGTTTAGTTTAGTGTGGTGTCTGAAAAATATTAAGATTGTATGCTGCGGTAGGGGACTTCCCAGGAGATCTATGCTACAGCTCTTTCAAAGTATGAAATTTCCTGGCCAGAAAGAACTTGGTTTTTGTAGCCTTGGGTTAAAGAACAAATTTCTCTGTTCCTGTGGAATTTTGGCCAAGGGAGTCAAACATTGATTCAGGATTACACAACCAGTACTAACAAAATAATA